GCAGCCGACCTCGCAGCGAGACACCGCCCCAAGCCCCCTCACCTCCAGAGAGGAGCTCAGCAGGGCAGGCTAGGGGAGAGAGGGAGGCAGCTGCCCCCCAGCTCCCTGGCTGGGCAGGATCAGGCCTCCTCCCTCCCCAAAGTCCCCATTTGCCTTTGCTCCATCAGTGCAACAGCTCCGGGAGCGCCAGTCCTCCCCAGCCCTCCCACAAATTCCTCTGCACTGGGCCCGGCAGCCCAGGGAGCGGGGCAAGCGGACGGTGGCTTGGGCAGCCTCTGAGGGCTTCAAAAAATGTCTCAGCTGCCCCCTGCCTCGGCCCGTCACACTATCCCTCTGCCCCTGCCCACCCAGGGGTGGGCGCTGCCCAGCCTTCTTCCAGCAAGGCTCTTCTGCCCCCCAAAACACAGCCAAGCCCCAGGCTCAGGGAACCCTGGACACCCCTGGAAACAGGGAGCACGTGGCAGCAGGCACCTCTCCCTGCGACAGCCCACCCAGCACGCCCATCCCTGGGGTGCCAGGGCAGTGAGCGGGACTAGGCTCTGTGCACGCACGGCACGGGAGAGGCCACGGGACCTCCTGCCCCAGCTGGAGGGACCAGCCCTGCCACCAAATTTCATGGGGACGAAGCCAGGAAGGTAGGAAAGGCAGAGCAGGAGCCAGGCAGCTCACTGAGGGGCAGGACCCTGTTCCTGCGCAGGGCCAGCACCCATCTGCTGCTGACACCAGCCAGCCTCATCCTTGAAAGGTCCCTGAGGTCCCTCCCAAAAACAGATGCCCAGTGACCTTTTTTCAGAGGAAAAGACGGAGGCTCCTTCCAGTAGAGCCTGGGGAAGGAGAACAGGGAAACTGAGGCACACAGCATAGACACGCAGCACCACTGGACAGAGACTGTATTCCTGAAGGCAAATCATGTTCAAGTAATCTGGGACACAGCATGTCCCTTCTCCCCCAGCCCCAAACCCCCTGGTGTCCCCAAGGCAATAAATACTCCCCAGGCTACTCCACACAGAAGCTCCCAGCCCACCGCCTCCCCCAGGCATCACAGCTCGGTCTTCACCTTGTGCATCAAGTCCTTCTGGTCAATTTTCTCCAGGTCCTGATGCCAGCGATTGTAAGCCAGCAGGGCCACGTTTTTGGCCGCCACCGCTATCATCTCCATGGAGCTGGCCACCCACTCCACGCCGCTGAGGTAGTAGAGGTTTTCATGGAGCACGATGGGTGGGAGGGACTTAGCGGCATCATAGCGGGGATACGCCTGCCACTCTGTCACCTGCACCGAGTAGTAGGACCTAAAGAGGGTCTTCAGCTGCTGCTTGTCCAGTGGCTGCTGGGAGAGGACACGCCACACCGCAGCTTCCTGGGGCTGCTTGCGACGGAAAGCCGCTGAGATGTTGACAGGACAGATGTTGTCCATGGCATTGAAGAAAAGGTCAGGGGTGTCGGTGGTGAGGATGCTGGTGAAGGGACAGAGCTTGGGGTCGGGGAAGCCGAAGTAGGAGGAGTTGAGGTAGCCATGCACCACAGAGGTGACAGAGGGCTGGAAGGCTCCGGGGAAGTCGGCGATGGGAGGCTCAAAGTTCTCAAAGGTGAAGTTGCTCCTGCTGGGGTGCAGGGGAGTCGTCACCACCACCATGTCGTAGAAAGCCGAACCCTGGCCTTCGCTGCCCTCATAGTGCACCTGGTACAGGGCTCTCCCTTCTAAAAGGAGATGGTGGACAGTTAGGAGTAGCCCTGAGCCCCATGCGATATTGCCCTAGCCCTCTTTTTTCTAACATGGCCTCCATCCCCTGGTTTTCCAGTACACACCAGTGCTGGACCATAGCACTTGATGGTTGCGGATGAGTTGCTGATGCTTTAGGGCAGTGGAAAGAGCATTTTTATCAAGCCTGTGGAAGAAAGCTTCCAGAGAAGCCAAACCCAGTGGCTTCTAGGAGCTCTAGGGCAGCAGAGCCCAGTCCCAAACCCCAGCTATCCAGCCCTTCGCTGTGTGGAGAGCAAGCCTGCAACAAGGACAGTGCCACAGAAGAAACCTGAGGGTCCTCAGGAAGGAGGGAGGGGAACCTCTAGGCCAAGGTCTGTACCAAAGTGCCCCCAGGTGATCACATGAGGGGAGGAGATGGACGGACCCTCAGACCCTGACCCAAATGCTTTACCAGGACCAAGATGCTCTCCCGCCTCTCAAGGCTCCCTCTCTGCCCCAGCATCCCCATGCTGCCACCACCCACCTGTCACCTTGGTGGCACCCAGAGCAGACCCCATGCCCAGGCTCACCTGAGCTGTGCAGAGAGATGCCTGTCACCCTGGCTGGGATGACGTTGGCTTTGGTCAGCTTCAGTAGACCTGAACACACCAGCTTGTTTCCTCCTTCCACCGCCCAGGTGCTGCCCTGGGCCCCTGCCAGTGACATGGCTCCTGGGGAGAGGAAGAGGAGGGTGGCTTAACAGCCTACCTGGGGAGGGGACACCGGGAAGAAGAGTCACATGGGGAGGGAGAGGGGATCCCCAGTTTCACCTGCAAAGGCGGGCACCAGCACCGACTGCCCATAGCTAGAGCGCAGGACGGCTGCGATGACATCGTCCACGAAGCGCTGCGTGACGCCCACCTCCAGCAAGGACTCCGCCACCGAGCGCTGCGTCATGTTGACAAAGGCGTCACCCCCCAGCGAGCGCAGCAGCTCCTCCAGGCTGGAGAAGGCATAGCCGTGCGCCTGGTACTTGTAGATCCTGGAAGGGACGGGAGCACAGGGCACTTGGTGATGCCCCAGTGCCAGGGAAGACCCTCTGTGTCCCCCCAGGCTTGCAGGCTCTCCTACCTCATGAACTTCTCCATCACCTCCTCCACCCACATCTGCAGGCGCAGGAAGCTGATGCCATAGTGCCACCAGAGCCGGAAGAGGTTGAGCAGGTACCAGTCGGTCTCCTCCAGGACGAAGTGCTCCCCGCTGAATATGGCGCTCTTCCCCGCCACCTCACGCCGGTGCTTGAGGCCTGCAGGGAGCAGAGGGACCAAAGCCTCGTGGGGCTCACACACCTCCCTGGGACTGGCCAGCTGCTGGGAAAGGCCAGTGCCAAACACCGCCACGGCGGGAACATGGGCAAAGAGGCTTTTGGAGGAGATTTAGGGAATGTGAGACCCCAGGGCACTAGGGTCCCAGCCACGCTCTATATGTTGGGAGGGCATCCTGTGGAGTTGACACGCTGCTGGCTGGGACAAACTGGTGGGATTTTGTGATCCCCCTCCCGCGCACTAATTCCACCAGTACCCCTTCCTCTGATGCTCTGCAGGGCTGCCCCATCCCTTTCTCTTCCAGGGCACAACAGGGCTGGGGCGCAGGGACAGCAAGGGGGTCACCGGGGTGCCGAGGTGCACTGGAAGCAGCCCTCCTCACACCCCTAAGGTGCAGCCCCCCGACTCAGGGAGGGAGGCCATGCAAGCGCTGGCGTGCCCGTGCTCACCCAGGATCTTGACGAAGTCCTGCATGTGCAGACTGAGGGCGTGGATGGAGGCTCCCCTGCTCTCGTACTGCTGCTTGTTCACGGTGACGGTGG